ATAATTTTAAAATGCCAGAGTAGTTTTGGTTTGAATTTCTCTGATGATTAATGATGATGAGCATTTTTTAATCAACACATTGAATCCCATGGGGGCATAAATGTATTTATGATCTATGTACAAATGGCTTAATAAAAAAAATTTCAAATTCCAATATTTCCTATTTCATTGGTCATTAATATATCCCTCAGCTGCTATTTCTCAGATGGAAAAAATATTTTTAAAGCAAGTTTATTCCTTTTTACTCTCTAGACATTTCTCAGGGTTTTTTCTCAAGGTGTGAAAGCAGAAGTGCACTTATTTTTCCAGGGAACACTAGTTTTGAGGAGCCAGGGCAAAGCTCCCTACCATCAAGAAAACTCTCGGAGTCTAGGGATTTTATTTTATTTTACTTTCATACTAATAGCTCCAGTGCTGTCACACTGCTTGACATGTACACTCAGTACATATTATATTTGGTGTGTTAAAGGACAATTTTCAAAAAGTTCAAAACCTGACTCTTATACCAAAATCTAAAGCAAACATGTATCAAAGATTTACATAAATCATTAATGAGAGAAATACCAGGGTGATAAAGTTCGTTCAGAATAGACACTAAAAGAATGCTGGCTTAGATTTTTAGTTTAGATTTTACAAATAATTATATTATTCAAGATAATAAAATTGTAACCACTGAGTTTTCTTCTCTAGAAGAAGTTATTTGTATCTTTATTTAGATAAAATTCATTTGCATTGCTATCAGTCTTTCAGACTTTAAAAATCTACCCTTACAGAGTTATAAATATTCTCATCAATAGCAGAAAGTAAGCCAAAGAAGTATTCTTAATAATGCTAAAGAATTTGGCTCGGTGCCTGTGGCTCAAGTGGCTAAGGCGCCAGCCACATACACCTGAGCTGGTGGGTTCAAATCCAGCCTGGGCCCGCCAAACAACAATGACAGCTGCAACCAAAAAATAGCCAGGCATTGTAGCAGGCGCCTATAGTCCCAGCTACTTGGGAGGTGGAGGCAGGAGAATTGCTTGAGCTCAGGAGTTGGAGGTTGCTGTGAACTGTGATGCCATGACACTCTACCCAGGGCAACAGCTTGAGGCTCTGTCTCAAAAAAATAAAATAAAAAATAAAAATAATATTAGAGAATTTAATTGCGTCTATCAGATTAGGAAACTGAAAGATATATCCTATTTGATTCCCAAATGCAGAAACAATTAGCTGTTAATGATTAATTTTATACCAAACTTGTTTTACTGCAAGTTACTTTTTAGTTTGTGTTTATTCAAATTTGAGTATAAAGTACGTACTCAATAAATATTTGTAGACTTAATAATTAGAGGCAAAGTTTCTGGTTTGAAAGGAAATATATCCAAATAACTTGCTATTGCAATACCACTTGCTCTTACTTATGAAAACAGCAAGAAGTAGTGGGAAAACTGTCTATGAAATCAAACTGAAATGGTTTGAATCCTACTTGTGCAATTTATTGCTTTTATGGCTTCCAGAAAATTACTTAACCTTTGTAAACCTTTATATCCCCTTAAATAAAATCAAGGTAATATCTACTTTGCCAGGATGTTATAAACATTGGTCACATTATATATTGCACATATAACCAAATAATTGTTTACAACATGTGCAAAATGCTTTACTTGGAGTAAAATGGTAGGACACAGCCTACAACATAATAAAAATAAAAGATTTACTGTCATCTAAGCAAAATAATGTAAAGAAATCACAAATGATGAGAAATCAAAGTGGAAATATAGGACTAACTCCTTTCAAGATTTGTTTCAATTTTCTACTCTGAAAAAAAATAAAATGTTTCTACTATTTATACTATTATTCTTTTAACTCTAAGAATTAATTTAGGGTGTACTTTGAAGGGCTTATTATTTAGTGATAGCAAGTAACAGGTGTCCCAGATGTTACCCATAAAGTTGCCATGCATAGGGAAAATGGGAAATCATAGCTAAATGTACCTTTATTTAAAAAAAAAAAAAATTTGTTACAAAATTTTACAAAATGGTGACCAACACATAGGGAATATTTTGTAAACATTTCATTGATTTCTGTTTACATCCTCACTCAATTAACATAGGTAGTCCAATTGCTTATGCTGTGTAACAAATAAGCCCTGAATTGAGAGGCTTAAATCAACCACATTATTCTGCTCACAAATCTGGTTAGGAATTTGGAGAGGGCACAGCAGGATGACTGTCTCTTTCTAGGATATCTGGCACCACACTGGGAAATCTTAAAGACTGGTGTGACTGGGAACTGGACCATCTGAATGTTTGTTCACTCACATGTCCAGGGCCTGGGCTGGCCTGAAGACTGAGGCTGCTAACCAGACAGCTACATGTGACTCTCTGCGTGGTTTGGCTCCATTTCAGGATAGTGGCCTCAGGGTAGTTGGACTTTTTACCTGGTGATTCAGCGTGCCAGGCACAAGTATTCCATCAGACAAAGCTGTAACTGCATTGTCTTTTGTGAGAACCTGGAAGGAACATAGCATCACTTTTTCATACTCTCTTGGTTGAAACTATCAGATGCCCACCAGATTCAAGGGGAGAGCCTACCAGTTGGTGGGAATGTGGCGTGGTCACATTGTAAAGAAGAATATGGGATAGGAGATATTCTTGTGACTGTGTTTCGAAAATAAAATTTTCCACAATGAGTGATTTTGTAGAGGCTTAATTCATATTACAATGTGAAATGAAATATATGCTGTGGTTATCGGGGCATTTCCTTGCAGATAAGCTATTGTCACCTACGTTTAGTTAGTCACACAGAATTTTCTTTGTGATGGGCTTTTCTTTTCTTTTCCTAATGTTGTGTTCTAGCTTGAGTTCATTACCCCACTGATAAGACTGTTTTCATATGTAATCTATTCTCAGTTTCCAAATCATTTTCTCAGATGCCCATCAATTCCTTGTAAGTGGTTAATGTAAAAGGCCTTTGAAGCATGACTGCGTCTAGCTGAGGCAGATCTAAATGCCAGACTTGGAAGCATCCAGTGACGTTCAGATGTACTCCTTCTATCATGTAGGACTTGCCTTTCTCCTGCATGGTATGTCTTGTCAAAAGAGGGTACTGGAGCTCAGAAAATGACATGTCAAACTGTGGTGCTTTGGCTGCTGAGCACTGTGGTCTGAAAGAAATTAAAAGGCCTTAGATTCAAGCCTCAGAACCAAGGGCTTCCTAACCTTCTCATTTTCCTCCAACTTCAGGGTAGAAGTCTATCTCTGATGTTCCCTTATTGGAAGCTTCTCCAGAAGAAGTACAATTGCTTTCCATCACTTTCCTGAAATTTCATTAACTAGTGAAGATTATGCTCACACTACAGGAAGGAAGACCGAGGGTTGTCACCACTGCTCACACAGACTTTTCATCTGCTCTTCTGAAGGCAGCTCTGAGAGATTACCTGGGGACCTTACCTGCATAATCAGACGGCCTTTGTTCCCAGTGAAGTTCCACCTCCTTCCCTTCCCACCACCTCTCACAGAGCTCAGAGAAACTTTGTCCTGGGCCAATTTCTGTTCTTAGGGTTCATTTGAGTTTCCTGAAAATCATTTACTACTCTTCAAAACTGCCTATATCCCTCCTCACTCTCCTATAACAAGAGTCCTACTTACGCTTCAGCCACCTGGCTCTTCTTTGAGTTGCATATTTCATTTGGCTTCTGTGCTTATGCGTGTTCCTAAATTGATATACATTTGCTCTTGTTAATCTTTCTACTGTCAGTTTATTTCAGCAAATCTTCGGAGGGCCGAAGGAAAGCTTTCCCTCTACTCCTACGAGGGCCAGAAATAGTGCCTTTCTCACTAGCGTTTGTGGTGCTGTTGGAAGAGCTGGTGTTCTAGGGTCAGGCAGACTTCCTTTAATCCCCCTTGTCTCATTTTAATTGTGTGAAACTGAGAGCTTTTTGAAAACTATGGACTAGCTTCCTTATTTATAGGCTGAAGATAAAAATACCCTACTTTATAGAGTTATAATAAGGAAATAATTTTAAAAACTTCTGATGTAAGGCCTGGTTGTATGTGATGGTAAGAATTCAGTAGTAGCTAATTACATTGAAATTTTCTGTGCCCATGAATTCCCTTTCATCACGATAAGTCTTGCTCAGGCTTAGGCACTGGATGTGCTGGGCAAGCAGGGGAGAAAGCATCTACACTAGGGATGATTGTTGAATATTTGGGTGGGGACACCAAAAAGTTTGCCTGAAAACTATGGTGAGTCTAACTCAATGATGAGCTAACTTCAGGATCCTAGGGTTAACACAGGGTTGTTCTGCTCTTTTTGAGGGCTGTTCTGTCCCCACCTCATTCTCTATTGATGGCGATTAGGTTGCTAAAAGAACACTAAAAGAAAAAAAAATGTATTCAGGGCCAGGCACAGTGGCTCACATCTGTAATCCCAGCACTTGGGAGGCCAAGGTGCGTGGATTGCCTGAGCTTATAGGTTAGAGACCAACCTGAGCCAGAGCAAGACTTCATCTCTAAAAAAATAGCTGGCATTGTGGTGGGCACCTGTTGTCCCAGCTACTTGGGAGGCTAAAGCAAGAGAATCACTTAAGCACAGGAGTTTGAGGTTGCTGTGAGCTATGACGCTACAGCACCCTACTGGGGCAACAAAGTGAGACTCTGTCTCAAAAAAAATAGATAAATAAACAAAAAATTCTTTTAAAAAAAAAATGTATTCAAATGAAATGTCTCTTGGCCTGACCAACACAGCTCATTGACACCTCACTGTAAACATATAAACATGTTTAGTAAAATGTATTAAACTTCGGCAACCTATCCGATGTAAGAAGTAAAATACATTGTACAAAAAGGTAGGATAAAATTTTCCTCTTCTTCACTCCCTTGGGATTTCTCCACTTAAAATCCCTCTTTAATCTCCAGTGATTGTAACAGTCATTATAAAGATGGAAAATGTTTATTGCATTATTTTAAATTGTCAGAAAGCTTTAATTGACCTGGATTTATTGTCTTTCTGTGCGGCAGGTGGTGAAGTTTACCAAATCCTTTGAATTGATGTCCCCAAAGTGCAGCGCCGATGCTGAGAACAGGTAGGGCTTATGAGGTTACTGTTTATCTTCTGATGCTCTTCAGTTCTTGGGGAACTGAAGTGTTTGCCAGCACTGCATAATTCTTTGAAGACCAGAGTTGTTATAGCCAAATATCATCACTCATGTATTCCAGGGCTTAAATAAAAACTATAGCTTAGAAATAAATAAACATACATCTAACTTGCAATCGGTCAAGGCCAAATTTTAGTACATATAACAGGATTAAAATGTTGTCTTTAGCTTTTAGTCTTCCATTCCCTGAAGGTAATATGTTAAAATAAATATTCTGCTGATGTCTAAACTTTGAATCCAAGTTCTTTATGCAAGTTAATATGGAATATCAATGGAGTAAACCTCTTTTCTTTATGCCAACTGTTTCAATTTCTTTTCACACCATCTATTTGAGTAAATCTGCATTGAATTACTCCTGAGCTGTGTGGACGGCCTCGTTTTTTGCTTTGCTTCTCTTCCTCACTCTAGTTTGCTTGTATTTGCCCAATAACATCCTCTTGGGGAGAAAAGTGAGAGTTTCCCGTAATTCATGTTTTGTCCCTGTTGGCATCTTTGAGGCTACAATCATATAAAAATAAGGGTTGGGGACGATTGGTGAATTTCTTTTAGCTTTCCACCACCAAGATTGACTGTCTTTGCTTTGGGCACCTCTAGAGGAAGAGCTAAAAAAACGGTGAAATTGACCTAAATGGAGAGATACACAGACAGATATGTGAAGCAGCCAGGACAATGTGATGGCAATGACAATGATGCTGATAACAATGACAACCTGAGCAGCCTCTGCCCCTCCAGGGGTATGTGTGGGTGCTCCACCAAATGCTTTCTGTGTATTTAATCCCCAAACAATCTTTTGTAGTAGGCATCATTCTCCCTACATGACAAAGGACCCAGGTTCACTAAGGTTAAGTAACTTGCTTGAGGTCCTTCAATCAGTGAAGACAAACTCACATCCAAGGTCAAGGTCACCCACATAAGACTCTCCCAACCTCTGAACTTTCATCCCATTCTCACCCGTAATTTGCAATTTGGCTGTTGATCTCATATAGTAAATATCTGTTAAATTAATATTTCCCAAATCTAGTTGGTCAATCTAAAACCAGCTTGGAGAAATCTAAATTCTCAGGACACACAATGAGAGACTCTGATTCAATATTTCAAAAGTCAAGTCCTAAAGATCTGTATATTTAAAAGCCTTTTGGGGTAATACCTGCTTCAAGATGTACATTCAAGAGTAATTTGATGTTTATATTTGTTATTGCTTTAAGTTCAGGAACTGGAAACCAACAAATTAAAATAGATATTTTATTTACTTTTTATTAAGTGCATGAAGTTTAAGAGGCCTTTGCTATATACCATATAATTCCATTTATAGGACATTCTTGAAAAGGCAAAATTACAGGAACAGAAATCACATCAGTAGTTTCCAGGGTCTGAGCATAGAGAGAGGGGTTGACTACAGAGGAGTACAGGGGAGTGTGGGATGGTGGTAGGACTCTCTGTATCTTGCTTATGATGATGGTTCTACAATAGCATTTGTTAAAACTTAAAGAACTGTATACTAAGGGTGGCACCAGTGGCTAAAGGAGTAGGGCGCTGGCCCCATATACCAGAGGTGACAGGTTCAAAGCCAGCCCCAGCCAAAAATAAATCAATAAATAGAACTGTATACTAAAAAATGTGAATAAGTCTGTAATTTATACCTTGAAATGGAAATCAAAAATGGGAAAAGAAGCCTTTGGTAAGAGGTTTTTACATTCATGAAAATGTATTTATATTCATGTCTATATCCAGTAGCAGTGAATCTATACCTAACAAAGACATTTAGGCAGAGAGAGTTACTAGTGATATACTCAGTAATTTTCCCAAATAGAATGCTGTAAAAATAGTATGAAATGCATTAGAAAAATATTCATGCTGATTTCTTTAGTTAGAGATGACCTCGTGTAAGTTTTATTTCTCATATATAGGGAAGAAAGTTTTATGGAATTATTAAAACACAACCTTTAAAATCCTAAGGCTTCAATATTGTTAGTTTTTATGTGGCTGAACACGCTCTTATGGTGACTTCAGAGTTAAATGCTTTCCGGCCTTTGGATTATTTTTAATACTAAAAGATCTTCCATGTCAAAATAAAAATGACCCAAGGCCCAGACTGATCTTGGCACACTTTCTGATAATAAAAGAATGAGAGGGAAAAAGGTCAGGTTTTCTTTAAAAAGACATTTGAAAAGTGCCTTTGAACTTTGACATTATGAGATAGTCCCCTTCATCATTCTATTTATGGCTTTTAGATTAATGTAGAATGTTCACTTATTTCAGAAGACCTTTCCTTCATTGTCTAGTAATTTTCGTCTTATAGACATGGGTTTCTTCCATCATTTGTTGCAAGTTAGAGGAATGAAGACAAGTGGCTCTAGCATTTACTTCACCGGTGGCGTGGAAGGGACATTGAAACAGACGATGAGTCTACAAATCACAGCCTGTTCTCACTACACTGTAAATCTTTCCTTTAAACATTCATCATTTAACATCTTTACCATAAATAATGCCCACTAGATAACTCAGTCCTCTGGACACCATTCAGAAATATAACACGATGGATTTTTAAAGATAATTTCTATGGCTTCATGTAACAATGTTTCAGGGTAACTACTGTGTATTTGAATTCTGGTGAACTCTGGTTTGAGACTTGCTGGGGTTTTTTCTTTTTTGCATTCTTAAAAAAATTATTATGGGTACATAATAGTTATATATCTGTATAGGGTACATGTAATGTTTTGATACAGGTATACAATGTGAATTAATCAAATCAGGGTAATTGGGGTATGCATCATTTCGGGCAGTTAACATTTAGTTCTGTTAGGAACATTCTAATTCTACTCTTTCAGTTATTTTAAAATATACCCTAGCTTATTATTGAGTATAGCCACTTTGTTGTGCTATCAAATGTTGTTCATTACATCTAACTATTTAACTGTATTTTTGCACCTATTAACCATCCACCTACTTTATCCTTCCTCCCCACTATGCTGCTCAGCCTCTGGTAACCATCATTCCACTTTCTGTCTCCATCAGATCAATTGCTTTTTGTATTCAGCTCTCAACATATGAGTGTGAGATTTGTCTTTCTGTGCTTAGCTTATTTCACTCACCAATGTTCCCCAGTTCCAACCATGTTGCAAATGGCAGGATTTCATTTTTCATGACTCTGTAATATTCCATCGTGTGTGTACCACAATTTGATTATCCACTCATCCATTGATGGGTGCTTAGGTTGGTTCCAAATCTTGGCTGTTGTGAGTAGTGCTGCAATAAACATGTAAGTGAACTCCCCTCCTTGGATATGCATATGCCCTGCAGTAGGTTTGCTGTGTCGTATGGTAGATATACTTTCAGTTTTTTGAGGAATCTCTATTCTGCTACCTATAGTGGTTACACTAATTAACATTCTCATCAACAGTGTAGGAGGGTTCCCCTTTCTCCACATCCTTTCCATCATTCATTATTTATCTGTCTTATTGATAAAAGCCACTTTAACTGGGATGAGATGCTATCTCATTGTAGTTTATTTTTTAGATTTCTCCCTGTTGATTGTTTCCTTTGCTGTGCAGGAGCTTTTTGGCTCAATGTGGTCCCATTTGTCCAATTTTGCTTTGGTTGGCTGTGCTTTGGGGATATTACTTAAGAAGTTCTTGCCCAAACCAATATCTGAAAGAGTTTCTTCCTAATTTTTCTTTTAGTAATTTCATAATTTCAAGTCTTAGATTTAAATCTTCAACTCATCTTGATTTGAGTTTTTCTGTGGCAAGAGAAAGCTCCTAGTTTCATTCTTCTGGGTGTGGATATCCAATTTTCCCAGCACCGCTTATTGAAGAGATTATCCTTTCCCCCATGGTATGTTCTAGACATGTTTGTCAAAGATGAGTTTGGTATAGATGTGTGGATTTATTTAGTGTTGATTGTTCTCTTCTGTTGGTACATGTGTCTGTTTGTGTGCCAGCATCCTTCTGTTTGGGCTACTACAGCGCTATAGTATAATTTGAAGTCTGATAATGTGATTCCTCTATTTTTGTTCTTTTTGCTCAGGATGGCTTTGGCTATCCTGGGTGTTTTGTGGTTCCACACAAATTTTAGGATTAATCTTTCTATTTCTAGGAAGGTCATCATTGGTATTTTGATGGGGATTGCATGGAATTTGTAGATGAATATTTTAACAATATTGATTCTTCCAATCCATGATCATGGAATACCTTTCCATTTTTTGGTGTGTCTTTTTCAATTTCTTTCAGTGATGTTTTACAGTTTTCTTTGTAGAGGAATTTCACATCTTAGGTTAAGATTATTTTCAGTTTTTTTTAATTATTGTAAATGAGATTACTTTCTTAGTTTCTTTTTCAGATGGTTTGCTGTTGGCATATAGAAATGCTACTGATTTTTGAATGTTGACTTTGTATCCTGCAAATCTACTGAATTTGTCTATTAGTTCTAATGGTTTGTATGTGTGCAGAGCCTTTAGGTTTTTCTACATATAAGATCAAATCATCTGCACACAAGAATGATTTGGCTTCTTTCTTTCCCATTTGGGGCCCTTTCTTTCTTTCTCTTGTCTGATTGCTCCAGCTGGAACTTCCAGTACTGTGTTAGCAGTACTGAATAGCAGTGGTGAGAATGGGTATCTTATCTTGTTCCAGATCTTAGAGGACGGGTTTCCATTTTTCTCCCATTCACTATACCAGCTATAGATCTGTGATATATAGCTTTTAACATTTTGAGGTAAGTTCCTTCTATACCCAGTTTATTTGGGAGTTTTAGCAGGAAGAGATACTGAATTTTATGAAATTCTTTTTCAGCACCATTTGTAATATCATACAGTTTTTGTCCTTCATTCTGTTAATATGATGTACACCCTGATTAATTTGCAGATGTTGAACCTTCCTTCCATCCATGGGATGAATCCCACTTGATTATGATGAATAATCTTTTTAAAG